CCTCTTTATTATAGTTAGCATTTATATAGCCCTTTAAAGTTTCCAAAATGCTTTGCATATTTAATTCTCATTTGATTTTCACAAGACGTTGTAAATTAGATGTTATTATTATTTCCATTTTACAGAAAAGAAACTTGAGGCTCAGATAGCTTTGTGACTTGCTCAGGGTCATAAACTGGCAGGCACATCTGAAGCTTGATTGGGACCTTAATCTTCTTAATGCTATCTTCAACACTTTATTAACTGTGCTAGCTGTCCCAGAATTTTTAGGAAGAAATAATAAAGGTGCTGATATTTTTGGATTTGATGAAAAAGATGAGCATTTTCCTAAAAAGTAACAATATAATCCGTATTGGAGGGAGAAGGAAAGGGGTGATGAGAGGAAGGGATGAGACCTTTTCTACATGACTTTGCTTCTGAACTCTTGCTTTTCAGCTTTTTCATAGAAACATTGGACTTTTTAAAATGCAACTTTCCTGTCTTAATCTGCAAAGCTCTGGAACTGATCCAAATGTTTCTTGAAGTTGGGTCAGTTCTGTGACATTCAGAGACAATAGAGAAGTCAGCCCAGTGTGTGCACGTATGCTTTTATTTTACTTGGCTACCTCTGACTGTAGCATTTGAGGAAATCCTCCTATGGAGAGTTCATTCACACCCTGCCCCAAGAGACTCTTTACAAAAGATAATTTGAAGCTTAAAACTGCTGAAATAAGTGAACTTTCTTGGATGGTTTAGAAGGCATTTCAGAATCCTGTTGTGCTTCAGGATCACAACTGTGAATCCATGATCAATGTATAGTACTATAATACAATTTCTGGTTATTTGAATTTTCTGATTAGATTTTTTTTTTTATTTAGGAGAGACCAGATGAATCTATTCATTTCTGAGTTCTCAAAGTACTGATTTGGTGGGCTTATTCTACATGCAAGAATTTTTGCATCTAGGAGAATCTGACATGAGATGCTCTAAGTTTACTTAATTTCTTCAACAACTACTTATCAAATGCCTGCCACGTAAAAGGCCCTGTGCTGGGTGATAACAACAATAATAGCCAGCATTTTTATAGCACTTGAAAGTTTGCAAAATGTCTTACAAATATTATATTACATTATCTTCACAACAATCCGGGGGTGTGGATGCTATTATTATTCACATTTTCCAGGTAAGGTAACTGAGAAAGACAGAGGTTAAATAATTTGCTGAAGGTCATACACCTAGAAAGTGTCTGAGTCTAAATTTGAGCTCAGGGCTGCCTGACTACAGGCCTAGCTCTATACTGCACCACTAGTGGCTTGTATTTGGAGGATATAAGTAAAATAAAATGCAGCATATAATGTCATTATTGAAAATTCAATTAAACAAGCACACAGTATCTGCCAGCCATGGGTAGGGCATTGTGTAGGTGCTGGATACTGGGGTCAATATAGCTATTATTTAATGCTGAGAAACTACCTTCCAAGTTCTGCTAAAGTGTTTGATTGGAGTGATGGTGCAGTCATCTAGTTATTGAGCATCTGCAATGAACACAAGTCACATCAGATAATTCAGAGAACCATTAACAAACATGAGAGTGCCCAAGATTTGAAGATGATATCTTTTTAGTATTGGAGAGTTTCTTCCTAGATGAAAGTGATATCAACCTAGCCAAATGACTGGCACCCCAATGTGAATTATTAATTTGAATTAATTTTGTTATTCAACACATATTTACTGAGTCTTCAACCATATATCCTATGCAGGGGAGTATTTGACAAATGTTAAATAATAATCTTTTCGTTGTTGTTCACAACGTTATTTTTTTCAGTTGTGTCCTATTCTCTGCTACCCCATTTGGGATTTTCTTGGCAGAGATACTGGAGTGGTTTGCCATTTCCTTCTCTAGCTCATTTTACAGACTAGGAACTGAGGCAAACAGGGTGAAGTGACTTGCCCAGGGTCGTGTCTGAGGGCAGATTTGAACTCATGAACATGAGTCTTTCTCGTTCCAAGCCCAGCTTTATAAAGTAGTGAGCTTTGGACTTCACCTAGATTTATAAAGTAGTGACCTTCAGAAGATCAGTTGCCTGAATATTTGCCTTTTGTTTTTGTTGCTATTTGAGTTTTTTGGGTTCTATTATTTATCAAGGTTTGTTTGGTAAATTATTATCTTAAAAGAAAGCCTTCATCTTGACTATCTATTCAGAATACTGTGGTTTTTTGTTCCTTTACAATTCAATGGTGTGAATATTAAATATCCAACATAGCATGCCTTTGGGACACAGTTGATTTATGTATGATATCTGTCAAATGTGTAGGCAGAAAACGTCCTCTTTTTATTTTGGCCTTAAAGTACCATACAATCAGGAATGAATTCTTAATAACATTTGGACCACCAGACATTTGTCTTTTATGTAGTTTATACAGATCAAAATTTATCACAGATGCATGTGAAAACACACATCTTGGGTTAGAATGAGGTTTCTCAATGTATGCTAATTATCTTAGCTTTTTCATCTTGTCCATTGAAGTTCATTAATGTTTAAAAACTGCAAAAGAATAAGTGGAAAGATTAGCTAATTGCTCCTAAGTGAAAGATGAATCTCCCAAAGAAACCTTTATTCTTTCAAAGGTCTATTTGTACTTTATCTGGAGTCAACAAAACAAATGTTTGAAGTTACGATCTTTCATTATGAGAACTAGTTTAAATTTTTTTTTAAAGTCAGATTTGATGGGAAAATTAACCTTCGCTTATTGGGAAGGACACTGGACTTGACGTCTGGAGACTTCATTTTAAATCCTGCCTCCAACTTTTATTTAACTGCAACTGTGGATAAATCACTAAATCAATCTGAGCCTCAGTTTCTTCATCTTTAAAATGCAAATAATTGTTGCACTATGTACCTAATCCACTGTGTTGTTGTAACGAATGTTTTTTGTAAACTTTAAACCTTTATATGTGTGCTAGTATTAATAATTGTTACATGATTACTTACTTGCAAGGTCGTAGGAGAAATGTATGATAGAAGTGAAAGGCTTGATATTCTACTTTGCTCAAACCTTCTAGAATATCATATTTTATTTTGGGGCATCATATTTAAGAAAGTTTACTTACAGACAAACTGGATGAGAATAACCAGAATGGTAAGAGGCCTTGAATCTTTTCCATATGATGATCATTTGAATGAACTCCACTTTGCATTTGCCTGGTACCTACCCCCAAGCCTCACAGGATATGTTTATCATTTCTAATCTAATTACCATACTATTAATTCAGGCCTTGATTGGTGTACTACTGCCCTTAGCCTCCTCTACCTTCTGATTAGATGGCCAGAGGAAAGGAGTACTAAACTCCTCCTAATTTCTTTCTTTATAGAGGGCAGAAACTGGTCTTTTAGCTTACTCTACTTTGCATCTGTTGTTGTGCCTAGTTTCAACTCCATGGAACAAGATATTCCCATGCTGGAAGCCCTTCCACATTCCCCTATCCCTCACCCCTTTCCTGCCTCTCTTTTAGAGTGTAAGCTTCTTGAGGGCAGGAACTGTCTTTTTATTAATCATATTTCTAGAGCTTAGCACAGTCTTGCACATAGTAAGTGCATAATAAACATTTACTGGATTACTAGAAATATTTCACCCAGAAATTAAGAACATGTGTTGGGGGAAAATCTATGTCTTTGAGTACTTGAAGTGCTGTCTGTAGAAGAGAAATAAGATTTTTTTCTTGGGCCAAGAATTAGGAAAAATAGGTGAAAGTTACAAAGGTAGATTTTTAGCTCTATGTAAAGAAATACATGATAATGAAGAGAGGTATTAAGAAGTAGAATGCACTGGCTTGGGAGGCTGTGAATTACCCATCATTGGAAGACTTCAAGTACAGGCTAAATGATCATTTGTTAATGTTGTTGCATGGAGATTTCTATTCAGGTATGGATGGAAATAGATGTCTTTGAAGTTCCTCCTGATTTAGAGATTAAACCTAATAATGTCAGAGATTGAAATTCAGTGTAGGTGAATATGTGAAAAGATTTTTGGTAGGCATTTCCCATAATGCTGGAGGTAGGACCAAGGCCATAAAGATTTGGGTAGCTGTTTTGTATAATGTTGAGAAGTGTGGGAAAGGGCTGGAACATGTGAAAGAGGAATAGAAGGGTCTTCCTGCTAGCGTGGCCAGTAGAGGTGGGAGCTGGCAGCAGCAGAGCCAGAGATGACAAGCAAAGTCCACGGAGATCTTGGGCTGAATTAGGACCCATGTGATTACTGTGAAATCATACTGAGAGATAGTGGTGTTAGCCAGGAGCTGGCCTAACAGTAGCAGAAGTGGAAGCAAAGGAGAGAGCAGATTTCTGAGGGAAGCAGGTGAGTGGCAAGGTACATACATCTCTCTTAATCAAGGTCTTTATTCTGAGTAGTGCTTCTGGGATTCCATCTGCCAGTACTGTGAGCTTTGTGAGAAATATGACTGAACCTCTAGGCAGAAGTGGGGAAGAAAAAGTGGTACTCAGAAAGATGGATTATAGTTTGGAGGCTTGGATCAGAATTTCTTTTCTGTTCTTTGTATGCCCTATAGTAAATCTACTCTATGTTTAAATGCTTATTATTAGCCTAATGTTTTTAGGGGAACTGAAGAGCCCCCCCTCTAGTGGAGAGCTAGAAACAAGTTAAGTTCAAATGTTTTCAGGGACTCTGCCCTTGGTGGGGACTGAGCCCTTACTGAGGTATTATTGAAGAGTCTTTTGTATTAAATCAGTCCATGTGAGTCTAGAGTTGCAATTCTAAGCCATAGTTCTAAGCCACAAAAATTCCAATGAATCATCTTCCATGTAAATACATTTCTGTTGGATTGGATGGGGAAATTATACAGATATAATGTCTGGGCGATAAGTATTTTTTGAAATTTCTGTCTTTTGCTGTCATGAAACTTTTACTTTTCATTTTTACTATTGTCCTATTTGGACATAAACAGACTTTCAAACCTGCTGTGGAGGAATTTCCGTAATTTAATTGTCCTATTCTTTTTGCAGGGAGGGGGAGACAATGGTCCCACAGTGCCCTCGGATGAGAAATGGAAACTGTGGAGCCGCTGCTTCAGTTTACTCACAAAGCCCGCATTGTCTGCCTTCATCTCATTCCACCTTGATAGACAGCTCTGACAGTTGCTCCCTCCACACAATCAAATGAAATTCTAGAAATGGCTATATGTTGAAAAGAACCATGTTACATTCTCAAGTCACTACTGTTAATGTTCTCTAAGTATTCTTATTTTTGCATTACAGTGTTTTATAGTTGGGTGCAACATGAATGATGCTAGTTTTTTTCTGGTTTGTTGTAAATGTGAATGTGTAGCATGTATCAGTTTTGTAGACAGTTGGGAAAAATCAACCCCTGACATTAGTAATTCTTCATTTCCTGACTGTAACTGAAAATTCTACTCACTCAATGAACAGTGTAATTCATGATAATAAAATACATGTTTCAATCAAGAAGAGCATACAACTTCAAAATGTGGTATAAAAGCATAGTGTAGAAAAAGATTTTGCCTAGCTTTCTCTCTCCGTTTCTATACGTCTCTACCAAAAGTATATCTAAATATATTTCATGTGGAGTGCAAACACTTGGGAGTCTTATCTTTGTACATAGAGAGTATGGAAAATGTTTTGGTAATTATCAACCTGATGGAATATACACAATGTATATATATCTTATGTTTTAAGAAGATCAAATCTACTTGAGGTACTAGAAGCTATATAGGGATCAGCAGATAAATAGAACAGAACAGACAGGACAGACAGGATGTGAAAGAGAATGATTTTTTAAAAAAAGTACTCAGATTCTAGGGTGCTTGATAGGTGATACTAGGCATACTATTTAGAAGTGTATATTCATTTCTATGAATTAAAGAGGAAATTTAATACAGGCACTTGTTCAATTATTATGGCTTTGTTTCTAGGACTTAAAATTTCTTTCAATGAGTTTCACTTTTAAAATAAGCATACTCATGTTTCCAGTTTGCACGGACCATATTAAAACCCTCACATGGCAGCGCACAAGCATTTTAAATAGTCAACAAATTACAATTTTACTAAACAACAGTTAAAATTTATAAAACAGAGCAGGGTCCTCATCCTGCTTTGGTGTGAAGTTGTGGCACAAAATGACATTGAACATTTTTTTAGCCCTTATGCATAGTGATAGGGAGGAACAAATGAATAAATTCTCCTCCCCCCCAATCTTTGTTCTAAATATCAAAACTAAAGATAGAAATTCTAATAGAGATATAAGGTTGCATTTTAATGGGCAGCATGGTGTATCAAATTAGAGAGTTGGCCTAACAGGAAGACCAGTTCAACTCATATTTTTGATACATACTCACTTTGTGGCCCTTTTCTATATTTCTGGTCTTCTTCCACATTACTCCCCTCTCTGTACTCTGCTATCCAATGACACCAGCCTCTACCTACCTCCTAGCTGACCTGGCCTCCTTCAAGTCTCAGCTAAAGCATCACCTTCTGCAGGAAGCCTTTCTCAGTCCTCCTTAATTTTAATACCCACCCTCTGAAATTACTCTCAATTTATCCAACATAAATTTTGTACATAGTTGTTTGCATATTATCCCCACCCATCATCCCTTTAGACTGTGAGCTTCTCCAGAGCATGGATAGGTTTTGTTTAGTTTAGTTTTGTTTTGTTTTGTTTTTGCCTCTCTTTAAATCCCCAGCGCTTAACACAATGCCTGACACATAGTATATGCTGCATAAATGTCTATTGACTGAGTGACAAACAGTGCGGCAGGCATGCTTTAAGACTTTACATTGTAGTGAAGGTGCTGACCTATACTGGTAGAAGAAGCACCTCACCTAGAACTCTCTGTACCAATAAAATCACAGATTAAAAAAAAAGTGATACATTTTAGGATGTGACACACGAGGGATTATGATGCAAACAAGAAGATTATTAAGATGATGCTAAATATTCCAGAAATAATAAAATATGTATCTTAAATTCTTAGAGCTGAGGATTGGGTAGGAAAGTAGAATAGTGTGGTGTGGTGTGAGGTGTGCGTGTTCGTGTATGTGACTTAGAAAGTCAGGGGGCTGTGCTGTGTCCAATCAGGAAAGGAGACATGGGAAGAAGGTCTGGAAGGAGGGAGCTTTTCAGCAAACCAATGTCAAGGCAAAGTAGTTTTCATTTTCTGGAAGAAGATAATGATAAAGGGAAACAGCTCTCTTCACTCACAGCAGCTCCCAGTCTTGAGCTAATTTAACAACCCAACAACACTTGTTAATCATCTATACTGTGCAAAAGATTGTGCTATGCTCTGGGGATACAAAGATAAAATGAAAGTTGCTTTCAAAAGAGCTCACATTCAACTGAGATGAATTTGCAGGGGTGGGGAGAGGAGGTTATGGATTATACCTTCTGGCAGCCCTTCCCACCCATTCCTTTTGCCCTACTCCAAACACAAAAAAATCTTAAAAGAATTAATACAGATTTACTTTCATGACAGCCAAATAAACCTAGTATGAGTTCAGGTATGCTCTCTTCCCTCTGCCATTTTCTCCCACCCTTTTTGATAATGCCAGAAATTCTTAAAAAAACAAATATCTTGTCAAAATAATTTTCTGGTATGAAGTTTTACTTAAGGTATAAGTCAGCCAAAAAATTTAAGTATCAAATACTTCCCACTTTTCATGCAACGTGAGGATAAAGTAAGCAGGGTGGCATTAAATGCCGAAGCTGTGAAAAGGGCCAACTCAGGGAAAAAAACAGGGGGGCACTAACATTCTAAAAGAGAAACTAACATTGAAAAGTTCACAATTATACCTAAGATGTGCCATGTTTATCTTCAAATGAACATGACAAATGCTTTGCACACACTGAGGTATTTTTGTCTTGTAGTTGTTAATAGAGACAATTTTGCTTTGCATGATTTATGAAGATTTTTATCTTAAAATGTGTTTAGCATTCATTATAATGGAGCTTCCTCAAGCTCACTTGTTATTTGAGGTATTACTGTATTTGAAAGGGAAACTCATCCAATCTTGGGTTTCTCCTGTGTTAGCAATATTATTTTTATTGAAATTAAATATCTGATGTGATTTTTGTTTGCTTATTAGGGCCTACGCTTGGTGTCTGAACTGAAAAAGAAGTATTACTCAGAATGAAAATATATAGGAGACAATTTTTATTTCATCAGTAGTTTTCTTAATGATGTCTATAATTTTATTTCTCTTCTAGGAAAAAGGTAGTGATATTTTGCTAATGATTAATACGGACTGATTTATTGCTGCAGTGAGCAAACGGCTTCCAAGTTATCCCTGAGAACTTTATCTTTTATTTCATGGGACATTCATTTTGTTTTAACAGAACAAAAATAAGTTTGACTGTCTCTTTATTGAACAAGTCCCAAAAAATTATATTCTATAAACTATATGTTTCTCAGATCATGCATGATGAAAGAGCCTTATTCTGTGTTCTGGGAATGAAAAAAAATACTATTGAGTTATTATTTAGGACTTGTTACTCAAACTATTATTATTTAAATTGTAAATATTTCTTACTCCTGCAAATCACCATGTGCATCTGTAGAAGACTAGAAAATGTGTATTTCTCTCCCTTTTCTCCATCTTATACCACTTTATGGGTAGTTGTAATATTAGGAAAGCAAATATTGACCTTTTGATGGAATGTGAATGCTATTTATTCTATATAAACACATAAATAAAATGCATCTTTTGAATTGTACAATATTGTGAAAAATATGAGGTGTGACAGGGAAAGTGATGTAATGTCACCCTTAAAAATACACACACAGAGAGCGTTATTTCCTTTTCCCATGTTCTCTTCCTTTGTTTATAGTAGTTTCCTGTGTTATTTTGCACACACACAGTCAGAGTTGGCTATGCTGGCTGAGGAAGGTAGTGGGTTATCTGATGTGACCCTTCAAACATTGTTTGAGTGCTAAACTTTTTAAGAAAAAAAGAGATTACTCTTTAAATTAGAGCTCTCCTGACCTAGGCCTAAACTTACATTATAAAGATTTTTAAAAATCTGCTTTAACTCTCTTAATTTGTATGTGATTGCTCATTTGGAAATGAGGCAATTATATTTCTATTGCTGAAGATGGAATGAATCTCTTCAAGCTGAGTCCTTTCAACACACAAGTAGCCCACTGGAACCCTGTAGAGCTTTAGCTATTGAACAAAACTCAAGAAGAAAATTCCTAGAGATGCCATGAAGGCCCTGATCTGCCTGCATTAGTTCCATTGGGCCTGGCTTATTCCCAGAATAACTCTATAGGATAATTCCTTTGATAAGCTTTAATTGCTTTAGAGTTAGACTGGAATTCATTTGGTCTCAATGGGAATTTTTTTTTTTTTGGTGGAATGACATTAGAATCTGGTCCAATGGGATTTTCTTTTACATGCAGATCAAAGTCAGTACATTAAAAAGAAGAGATTTTCTCTTAGTCCCATAAAATTTTATAAAATGCAGGAAACTTCTAATCTTATCATAACATGAGACTAGTACCAATGTGACTCCTTGAAACTGCAGTCATGTCTAATAACCTTCCTTTAAGATACTTTGTGAGTAAGAATATGTTTCCAAAATAGTCATTGGGCAACTATATTAGCCTGCATAATATATCCTTTTCCTTCTGCCTCTTCTACTATAGAAAGTGTATTCATTTAAAAAAGAGAGTTGCACCTTAAATATCAACAAGCATATCAAGTCAAGAACTCACTCTGTGCCAGCTAAGCACTGGAAACACAAATGTAAGCAAAAAGAAAGACAGTTCTTGACTTCAAGGAGCTTACAGTCTGATGGGGGAAGACAACACACAAAAGGAAGTTGAAAAGAGCAGAGGGAGGAAGCAGGTATTTGTGTGGAGGCATGGTGGAGAAAGAAGTCCAGAGAATCAGGAACAGAGTTTGGAAAGGGATGAAGGAGTGAACATCACTGACCTGGGCAAGTTACTTAAAATAGATGTTCTGGGTGGAACTAATCAATCACAGGAAGGGACCACAAGAGGGGAGTGATTTTCAAAGTGAAAACATACCTAGGGAAGAGTGAAAACCCAGGGTGAGATAGTCATGGGGTAGAGGGGCCTGTTGTCCTGTCTGCCTCTGGAGTTGTTTTGAAGATGTTTTTAATGAACCTATACAGGATGTGCTTTCATCCCAATATTTTCATTAAACTGCTAATAGCAATTATTCTATCCACCTGCTCAACAATCCATACAACATTAAATACGAAATAATAATAACAGGATAGCAGCTTGTCCCAGGACTTTTTCTCTCCAAACTACATTAAAAACATTTAGAAGTGTGAGATTAATGCTAATAACCATATTATAACAATATAATAATCATAATAATATGTTAATTTCATATTTATATAGTTATTGGAAATTTGCCAAATAATATATATTTTACATAACTTGATTTTCACAATTTTAACATACAAATTAAGTATGGGAAGCAATTTGGAGTAAATGAGTCAAAACCTCTTAAATCCACATCTAATATTTTTTGTTGATGTTTTTAGTAACAGAAAAGTTATTTTTTAAACCCTGGAAGGGGCAAGGTCAATTCCCTTCTCTAAGAGAATAACTTCACCTCATGGAGTTAAATTCATGTTTCCAGTGTTGCAAGGGAATCTCCAGTTCATCTATAGTAAATGAGAGGAAGTGTTCTAAGTGGTGCTTAGGTACAGAAAGAGTGAGGGGGTAGTGGTGGCAAGGAGCAAGCAGGATAAGTAACTGTCTCCAAAAAGCAGGGTACGTGGCCTACATAAGATTAGGACCAATGTCATTATTTATCCTTGGATGAAACATTACATTTGCATAGCATTTTTATGGATTTGTTTTAGCCTGTAAATAATAGAAAAAATTTCTTGATATTTGTGTTCTGAGA